AAGGGGCTGGGTTCCAGTTTACCCGTCCAAACCCACCAATCAGTTTGGGTCACTCCTCCTAACCTTGAATAAGAAAGGGGGAGATGTCAGGGGGTGGGGGGAGGCTAGGAGGGTTAACCCAGTAAAGTGTTTTCTACATGGAAGCAAAAATCAGGAGTAGAAAAAATTCCATGGGTCTATCCCAGTGGTTAGAATATACCATGTTTTTGCAAATAACACTGAAAATATATGATGAACTTTTATCTTCTTTGCAGTGAAAATAAAGTTATATATGTAGACGCCCAATGACTGGAATCAATAGTTTGAACACTATGAGCCCCTCACTGTGCTGGATGCAGAGACTGACAGAAAAATGAACAAGAAGTGAAGGGAGTTCCCAGTCCAGTGGGACAGACTGATACATGTAACTATCACAGAATATGATCAATAACAGAATTATAAGCATATTCTCTAATAACACAGAGAAAGGAACAATAGAGGAAAGCTTTCATAATTTAGTACCTTTATTTATTCCTCCATTTATTTATCCAATGCCTACTATATTCCAAGCTCTGTAGCAAAGTATTAGACCATTAGCACATAATGGTAAACAAAGTAGACAAGATCCCTCCTCTCACTGAGCACATGGTAGAAATAAAGCAAATAAATATGTAACTGCAAAATGGAATCTGTGCTATAAAGGAAAAAATAGGGTGCTATTAGGAAAAATAACAGAGGTTATACAATTCAGATCACAGGGTAGGGAAGGGCTTCTCTGAGAAAACATTTCAGCTGAGACCTAAAGGGTGGGTATGTCCCACCAGGCAGGACACAGGCAGGCGGAGTGGGGAACGGACAATCTTAGGAGAAGGAGAGGCATGCACAAAGGTGCTCAGGTGGAAGAAATCTTAGCGCACTTGAGGGAGCAGCGTAAGATGGGGATCATGGTTGAAAGTAACATCAGGGCTGTGGTCAGAGGCCATATTGTGACAAGTCATGTAGGCCACACAAAGGACTTCAGGATTCACGACATACATTATGAAGCCAGTGAATGCTTTTAGTAAAAGGGATGATGATTTATTTACAATGGATCGGAGGGTGCAAGAGTGGATGAGGGGCAAGTAGAAGAGAGATTGTTAGTATGATCCAGGTGAGAGAGGATGGTGGCTAGAACTAGGATGTTATTAGTAATGGAGATACAGAGGTAGAATGATTCAAGAAATATTTTGGAGGTAAAAGCATCAAAACTTGGTGATGGATTGGGGTAGGGTGAAAATGGTGTGATTTGTAAACATGTCAAAATTCCTGCTACATTTTGGATTTGAGCAATACTCAGAAAAGATGACATGTGAGCTGGCCCTTAAGAACCAAGTTGGATTTTAACTGATGGAGAACGAAGAGAAGGCTACAGGGGTGTGATGGCCTGCTGCATATTCAGAATTCCACAAATAGCATTCGGATGTCCTAGGAGCACAAGGCATGTGATAAAAATGCAAGGACATAAAGGACAGACAGATTACAATTTTTGTTTGTTTGTTTAATCAGGGCATCATCACTTCCAATCTATTTCTGCGTTTATATTAGACAGTTCAGAATTTAGGACTGGAGCTTAAGAAAGAGGGGTTAGGGACAAAAACTGGAAATTATCTACAGATGATAACCAAAACCATTAAACCAGATGAGATCACCCACAGAGAATACAAAGTAAGAATACAATCAATGATTGATCTTCAGGAAGCCTCTCTGCATTTAAAGGACAAGCAGAAGAAAAAATGAGAAAGCAGCTTGGAAAGCATGACATCCTCATGGATAGTATGAAAATAAAATCATAAGTAATTACATGATTATATCTAATAATTACAGAGCATTTACAGTGTGCTAAGCACTGTTCCAAGAGGTTTATATAAATTTATTTTTTACTATAATCTTGTGAGCAGGTGCTATTACTAACTTCATTTTATAGATGTGGAGACTGAGGCCTAGACAAGTTAAATTGCTTCTCCAAAGTCACTAACCTAGTAAATAGCAGAGCTGGGATTCAAAGGATTTGTAAGCTTAACCTCTCTGCTTGCTTGCTCTAAAGACCCGGCTTTATCATTTCTGGTATCCCATAGGCCATATGAAAAAACCAGCTCCATCATGGTTTTACAGGCCTTTCGGAAGAATCTTAGGAATTAATCCAACCCCTGGGTTAGTGTTAATCACAGCAAAATTCTACAAGTTAGCTGCCTTACATGTGTTAATTAATAATCCCACACTGTTCAATATAGAATCTTTTAAATAAACAGACATCTTGGTATTTATAAATAGGGGAAGATTATCTAGAGCAGAGATCATTAAACCATTATGAATGTAAAGTAGTCTTCTCTACTCTAGTGGATGGTATCAAAATAGAGTTCAACAAATAACCTGAACGTGGCAAATTAACTTAAAAAAAACACATAATAATTATAAAAGAATTCAGTAATATAGACAGAATAAAATATGTATCAAAATTTTCTAATAACTAAAAGTAGAAGCAATAAGCTCAGAGAGATGAACTAATATTAATTTTTTGTAATTGCTTTCTTACTAAAGTTTAATGAAAGTATAATTATAATAACCTTCAAACAAAGCTGGTTGTCAACTGGGGACAATTTTTCCCACACCCCCTGTGCCCAGGGGCCATTTCTGGTTGTCACAGCTTGGGGGGGAGCGGGGTGAGAGGTGCTACTGGATCTAGCAAGTAGAGGCCAGGGGTGCTGTTAAATGTCTTACATTGCACAGGACAGACCCCATCACAAAGAATAACCTGGCTCCAAATGTCAGCAGTGCCAAGTTTGAGAAGCCCTCCTATAAAAATAGCATCCATACCAGTAGCAGCTAAACCTAAAAAATTAAGAAAAAGGCAACTATTATAGAATTCAGTATATATATGAACACACAGATGAAACAGACTATTCTATTCCAAAATTGAGGAATAAAACCAACTGAATTTTGGCATTCATAATAAACTTGACTAAATGTTGTATCATTTCTTGCCATCACTAGCTTCTTGTTATTGCACTAATTATAAGGCTGATGAACATGAGGGTACATATATCTTTACAGATAAATGTTTTCAGACTTTTGGGATAGATACTCAGAAGAGTGATTGCTGGGTAGTATGGTAATTCTATTCTGAATTTTTTGAGGAACCTCCATATTGTTTTCTGTAGTGACTGTACCAATTTATACTCCCATCAGCAGTGTATGAGGGTCAGCATTATGCACAGTGGCCAAGGCATGGAAACAACCAGTGTCCTTTGATACATGATTGGCTAAAGAAGATGTGGTATATATACACAATGAAATATTACTCAGCCATAAGAAAAGATAAAATACTGCCATCTGGGACAACATGGATGGATCTTGAGATCATCATGCTAAGCAAAATAAGTCAGACAGAAAAAGTCAAGAACCACATGATTTCACTCATATGTGGAATATAAAACTGAAAGCAACAAATGAACAAGACAAACAAACAAAAACACATAGACACAGAAAACAGTTTAGTGGTTACCAAAGGAAAAAGAGGGAATGGGGAGGCAGAAAAGGGAAAAGGGGGTCAAATATATGATGATGGAAGGAGAACTGATGCTGGATGGTGAGCACACAAATGCAGTACGTAGATGGTGTATTGTAGAAATGTACACTTGAAACCTATAAAATTTTACAAACCAATGTCACCTCAATAAATTGTTAAAAAAAATTTTAAAAGACTAATGGCCCTCTTCCCTAAAATTTTTATACTCAGTACTTTGACTCTGCTCTTCAGACTTGAAATAACTTTTACAGAACATACCAGTGGGGAAACTAAGAATTTAAAGTGGGAATTGATAAATATTGACATTTCATTTAATAACTGCTAAAAGCTAACGAATGGACTAGGTATATGGCCTGATGCTCCTTTCTATCCAAATTTCCTTTGTCGCCTTCAGTGAAGGAGAAAGCAATAACAGACTGTGTGTGTTTAATTTTAACCCAGGGCAAATTTTTATGACTGAGTGATAAACCCACGAAGCTGGAGTTCATATTGGCAGCCCTTTCGCTACTAACTAAAATGATACCAGTGGGCATTACCATTTTTAAAAGTGTAAAAAAATTAATGAGCAGAGTGTCATTATAGAAACTCATTCTATATCACACATATTGCCCAAGAGATTTATATTTCATGCTTATAAAACTTAACATAAAATTAAATTGCAAATATTTTCTCACAAGCTACTAAAATGATGGCCTAAGGCAATACACTGCTAATAGGAGGGATTTGTTCAGCGCTAGTGGACATGTTCCCTACATGAGTTATGCAGAAGAAGGCTTCATTTGCTTCTTCAGAGATTCAGTAATGAGGCTTCTTTTGTTATATTAAGCCTAGAAAGCTTAGAAACGTCTTTAAAATTAAGCCTGCAAATATAACATTGAATTATTAATAAATAACAGTCAAATTAATAAACTTTTTTTCCTCCTTATGTATACGACTATGTCATTTTAAACATCAGCCATTCTTTCATTATCCAAATACATAAAAAGCTTCTGAATATTTCATACAGAAAATACATTTTCTCTCCTTAGGCACAAAACCAGAATAACACATTTCAAACAAAATAGCAGACTGTGATTTTTTCCCCCCTGAAATCTAGAAAGATTAAAAATAATTTCAATAATTTCCACAAGAAAAGTTAGAAATAATAGAAAGGAGAGTTGTGGGACCAATACTTTGTCTTAATCCATTAGGAAGTGAATAACACTGAATCCCCCAGGTATAAGAAAAGATAAAATTGATTTCAGTATTACCAACCCAATGGGTCATGAAATTTCTGTGCAATGCTGTCTAGACAGTGAGTGTTTGCCTATTAGCATGCTTCAGAATACACACGGAAGGAAGTAACATCTTCATCTGGAACTTAAAAAAAAAACTGCATGCATTTAGCTTTATACTGAAATCTATTTGGCAACTCGAGAAATTACCAGATTTTATACCAAATTATAATATGCAATGCTTACCTTAAGCATTCAGCATCATTTTGAGGCTTTTCATTGATTTTTATTTTTTCTGCCTCTAGGTATTTGGTAGTACAAATGGCTTCATTCTTTTTATCTTCAAAAGCTAAACAATTAATAAAATTTTTTACAATCTTTTAAAAACAAAACACAAAGGTTGTCTTTATTCATTCATAAGAACAATCTTCTAATTTTGGATGCTTCATGTAAAATCTATGTGCTAATGATTTTTATTTTTCTACTTTAATATACTGATTAAAGGCACAAAAAAATCTTAGCAAAATTTGGGACATTAAAAGTATCAGATCTAATGCTGATCAATTCATTGTTTGACCTATTCCTTTTTTATACCAATGACAGCCCTATATCTCAATAGGTTGATGCACTTTGAAAGAATAATATGACCCTATATCATGTGTATATAAATATACTCATCAGCAAAATGCACTAATGCATAAAGGTAATACCTTTAATTTTTCTTTGGAGAGTAAATAACTCTTGCATTAATTCACTCTTTTGTTTCTGAAGTTCATTTAACTGGTCATTGTCATGTTCCATGGACTTCATTTCTAGAAACAAATAAACAAAAACTATATTTTAACTATTTAGGCTTTGCCATAAATATGTCAGCACTTAACTTTTTCTTGTGTAGTAAAAATTTAAGCAGCATATGGTCAATTGTAAGCCTGAACTAGCTTTGCTTGGCCACCTAGGAAGTGTTTCTAATAAACTGACCAAAATTAGTTTAAGCACCAACTGGATACAAAAGAATGTTAGTAGACTGCGAGACTACAGAGAGAATTCAAAACAATGTAATTATTACTAAGCAAAACAAACTTCCCAATGAGATGCGAAAACTATATCCTTCATAACTAACGCATATTTAAAATGACTGCATAATAATCACTATATGGCTACAAGCTTCCACAATACTGCTAATATTGTTTCTTCTACCTAGAATTCCTTTCTTTATTCCCACAACAAACTCTTTTCTATTTTCTATTTAAATTGTTATCTCAAAAAAAATTTTGAATCTTGTCAAATGCCTTTTCTATGTCTTTAATTTTGTTTTTTAAATATTTTTCATTTATCTCTTTATTATATCCATATCCTGAAGTGTATTTATAATATTTATAAGAGCAATTTTAAAGTCTTTCTTTGCTAATTGTATCATCTCTGTCATTTGTGGGTATGTTTCTACTGACCTAATTTCCTCCTTGCTGTAAGTTACAATTTGCTGTTTCTTTAAATGTGATTTTTCATTGGATATTACACACTGTGCTTACTATTTTGCTACAAGTTTGAGTTTTGGTATCTTCCCCTAAAGTTGATGTTTGTTATTTGGCAGGAAGTTAAGTAACTTACAAATCAGGCTCAAACCTTGTTATTTAACATCTTTTTTTAACAGTGGGTCTAGAAGAGCCTTAAATCTAAGTCTAATTTAATTCAGCTATTAAGAAAGGATGCTTCTGTTTAATGAGATCTTTGTATTCTGACAGATTAAAGTATGAATGTCTTCTGTCTTTCCTTACAGGAATGTAGGCTCCAATGAGGGCAGGGCTTTTTTTTTTTTTTTCACTGCAGTGCTACCAATGCCTATAACAGTACCTGATACACACACCAAAAAATACATAAATCATTATTGAATGGATATACTAAGCACATTTTCAAAATACATTGGCGATCAAAACAAACACAGTTCCTGTCCTTACACGTTAGTAGGGGAGATAGATATGAATCAAATAAGTGTGTAATTACAATGCTCTGAAAAAAACGGTATGGAGAACCAAGAGAGAATATAATCAGAAGAAATGACCTAATGTGAGATGGAGGTGTGTGTCAAAGAAGGATTTCCTGAGGAAGTAACATTTGAGCTGAGGTCAGAAGAATGACTAAATTAAAGATTAAAAAAAAAATTCCAATAAAGCATATGCAAAGGTCCTGAGGCAGGAGGAAGCATAGTACAACCTAGGAAACAAAAGAAGGCAGGCATGCCTTCCGCACAAAAAGCAAAGGCCACACACTAGGTGAGGCTGGAAGGAGGAGAGGCACTAGATTGTACAAAGATGGCAAAACAAGTTGAGGAACTTGATTTGCTATGCTTATCATGATATTTTTAAATGGAATATAACTAAAGTAAGAGGTTCATTTTAATAGTTCAGTACTAATAATTTATTTCAAATATATATGGGTGTTAAAATTTTGGCAAGCTCAAGAAGTGAGAGCAGATCCAACTCTGGAGTTAAAAAATAATAAATCAAAGGTGTCTGGCAGTGAAAAAAAGCACACTGATAGTACAAAATAAAAAACAGCTATGAATACTTGAAGATGAAGATTATTTAAAACCCAGTGAAACTGGATGACTAGTCATAGTTATAAGCTAAAAGCGCAATGGAAAAGTTCAGCGGGGGAAGCCAAGGGAAGAAGGAAAAGAAAGGAGAAAACTCAAGTGTCAGGATATAACAGATGTGGTGGTACGAATTAGAAGAGGGAATGGAAGAGCAACCACTGACAGGTAGGAAGACAAATGGAAACTAAAAGTACTCTGGGAAGAAACTGGCTCTAATATCTGCTTAAAATTTGAACACCACCAGAGAGAAAAAGGCACCAGAAACAGTTTTACAGGTGAATTATTTCAAACCTAGAAGGAATAGGTAATTCTAGTAATTATATTTTTCCAGGTAGAGAAAGAAGGAAGCTTTCACATTCTTTCTGTGAAGTCAATATATTAATAATACTCACAAAAAATATTAATCTCACTTATAAATACTGATGCAAAAATTATAAAGAAAGTATTATAAAAGAGAATTTGGCAATACATTAGAAGACTAGGAGACCACAACTACGTAAGGTTAATAATAGGATATTTATTAATAAAATTCACTATGTTAATAAAACGGGAAAAGTGTATATGATCATCTTAAAAAGAAATGGGAAAGGATGGAGGGAAGGAGGAAGGAAGGGAAGGAGAAAAGACAGCTTCAATATGGCATCATGATTAACAGTAAAATTCTACAAGTATTTCCATGAACATTAGTAATAAAGAAGGGTATCCAACATCATCAATGCTAAAGACTATTTGTGTCCTCCCAAAATGCATATGTTGAAATTCCATTTATAATAGTAATACTTAGAGAAATATTAACAAGAGAAAGGCAAAAACAATTGAAATACATATGTTGTTTTTAGATAAGCAGATTCACAATTGTGAAGTCACCAATTCTCTCTAAATTCATTAGTAAAATTAATGCAGTTCTAACTAAAACATAAGATTTTTTTGAACTTGATAAAATGAGACTCAATTCTATCTAGGAAAATAAACACAGAAGAATCAATAATAGAGTTAAGGAGAGAGGACTGCTCTGCTAGATATTAAACAATCATACTAAGAAACTAGGATAACTAAAAAACAAAGTAGGGAGAAAAAAGCACAGAAAGACACACAAACAAAATATGAATTTAATATATGATAAATGTAGAGTTTCAAATTGGTTGGAAAACAGTGAATTAAGTAACAAACTGTTAAATAACTGACCAGCCTTTTTGAAAAAAAAAAAGTTGGATCCCTAAGCTCTTATATCAAAATAAATTCAGGATGGATGTAAAATATAAATAGAAAAGAAGACACAGAAAATTACCAGAATAAAATATAGGTGATTTTAAAAAATTAACGTTACACAGAGAAAGCTTCCTAAGCCACAGACAAAAATCCAGAAGTCATAAAAGAAAAGATTAAGATGACTGCAAATATTTTAAATTTCTATATGGCATTCAGACACACAGAGACATATACAGACACAGACAGACACACACATACACACACACACACAGACACACACACTATAAATATAATCAAAAAGTAAACAATAAACTAGGAAACAAGATTTATAATACATGACATAGGGCTAACTTCCTTAATTTACAAAAAGTCCACATAAATCAGGAATGAAGAAATTAAAACATGAGCAAAAAGTATTAATAGATTCTTCACAGAAACAGAAATAAAAGTGGTCAATAAATTCAGATAAATAAATCCAACTGTGCAAAACCAAAGAAATGCTAATTAAGAAAACAATGAAAATAATATATTACTTGTCAGATTGGCAAAGATTAAAGTTACTGATAATGCCCAGATTGGTAATGGTATGGGATAATAATATAGGAAAACAAGCACTTTCCTATACAGTTGGTAGGAAAAATAATTAATTCAGTGTTTTAAGGAGCATAATTTAGTATTAAATCTCTTAATATTTCACTTTGACTCGGTAGTTTTGTTAATAGATCTTACCACATCAATATATTCACAAAAGTATAGTGCGATATACACTCAGATAATTAGAGGTCCCCATTGATGCTCACATAGGTTGTTTTCTGATTGTTCTTTTGTTTTGGTTTCTTCTCAAAACACTCTAAGTCTGGCCATTTGCGTACTGTTGCTTGCTTCCTATCTTCTCTGGGAACTTCCCTTCTCTCCTGAGTCTTCAATTTTTCTTTTCTACTGACTCTGATTCATCAGCATTTAAATAGGTTAAAATATCTCCCATCTCAAAAAATAAAAATGAAAAAAGGATAACCCCACTTCTCCACTAAAAACCCTCCCCTGGCTTCACATCCCCCTTGGTTACTTACTGGACTCGATCTTATCCACAGAGAAACTTCTTCAAAGGCTTGCCTGCAATCATGGTCGCCAGTCCCTGTCCTCCTGCTGCTCAACCCATTACAGCCTGGCTTCCGCCCTTCTCATATCTCAGCAGCCGGGTTTTCCTAGATCACTGGGGACCTCCAAGTGCTGATCTTAGTCCTTATGGTTGACAGTTTGGCAGCATTCAACATGGGTAGATTGCTCCCTCAAATACTCTTTCTTTCCCCTTCGCGATACCAACTTCACACTCTGTGTCCTGCCTACCTTTCTTAAAGCTCTTTTTTGGACTCGGCTTTTTTCTCCTTACCTAGAAAATCCTAGTGTTCCTTGGGGTTCTATTATTTTCTTTCAATAGTTCTCCCTGGGTGGCTCCGAAAATTTAATTGCTCCAGACCAGCCTTCTCTCTGAGCTCTTGATTTAAATACCCAAATATCTGACATCTATACTCAAATCTCTCGCTTGGCTAATCCCTATCACCCTTCAGGTCTCAATCTTAAGGTCACTTGCTCAGGGAGATCTTCCCCAAGTACCTAGTCCAGGTTACATTCCCTTTTTATATGTTCTCATATCGTTTTGTGCTTCTCCTTTTGAAGCAGTCATCAATTTATAGGTATCTCATTCATACTATTGGAGATAGAGAATTAAACAAAGCCAATTCCCTACCATTACGGAGATTCGAGTTTTATATGGAAATGTTATGAAATACCTAGAAACAGACTTTCTGAAAATATAAAGAACCAACAGTACCAGGTCCATGGAAGTAAATCTATTAAAATTAATGCATATTTCTGGCAAAACGAACACAAAAGAGAGGGCTCCTAAAGTATCTGTGGTATCCAGGACTTTTTAAAAATCGATTTTATAGAGGAATAACTTACATTTAGCACATACAATTCCATGAGTGTTGACTATCATATACACCCATGAAACCACCACCAGAGTCATGAAAACATTTACTTCCATCAACCCCAACAGATTCCTTGTGCCCCTTTGTAGTTCATCCACTATTGCGTCCAGGCATGGATTTCTTTGAATTTATCCTGTTTGGGTCGGCTGAGCTACTTGAACGTGTAAATTAACCATTCAGCAAATTAAAATTTTTTTCTACTATTATTTCTTCAAATATATTTTCTGCCCCTTCTCTCTCTTCTATTTCGGAGATCTAGTTACTCACAGACCTTTTGAAATTGTCCCACAGGTTCCTGAGGTTCTTTTTTTGTTTTGTTTCCTTTTTTTTTTTTTCTCTTCTTTGGACCGGATAATTTCTATTACTCTGTCTTCATATTCACTGGCTCCTCTGTCAGCTCTCTTCTGCTATTAATCCTATTCAGTGACATTTTAATTTCAGATACTGTACTTTTCAGCTCTAACATGTTCGTTTGACTTTTTTATATTTTCTATTTCTCCACTAAGATTACCTATTTTTTTTATCTATTACACGTGTATTTTCCTTAATTCACTGAGCAATTTAAAATAGCTGCTATAACTTCTTTGTCTGATAATCCCAATATGTAGACCACTGTGATTTTGACAACTCAGGATTTTCTTTTGACACTATGTCACATTTCACTGATTCTTCATAGGTTGAATAATTTTGGATTGCATCCTAAACATTGTGAATATTATGTTGTAAAGGCACTGAATTTGTTTTGAAAATAGCCATCCTCATGAGTGTGAAGTGGTATCTTATTATGGTTTTAATTTCCATTTCCCTAATGACTAGTGATGTTGAGCATCTTTTCATGTGCTTACTGGCCATTTCTTTGGAAAAAGGTGTACTCAAGTTCTTTGCCCATTTTTTAAGTGTGTGTGTGTGTGTGTGTGTGTGTGTGTGTGCGCGCGCGCGCGCGTGCGCGTGTGCATATGTGTTTAGTTGTAGTTCTTTATATATTCTGGATATTAATCCCTTATCAAATAGATGATTTGCAAATATTGGGTTGTTGAAAAAGTCATGACACATTTTTGCAACAAAAAACATAGAAAAAATACATCATGACTTTTCCAACAACCCAATATTTTCTCCCATTCTGTGGGTTTTATTTTTACTCTCTTGACAGTGTCCTTTCTGTACAAAAGATTTTAATTTTTATGAAGTACAATTTATCTACTTTTTTGTTTGTTTGTTTCCTGTGTTTTTGGTCTCTAAGATATCATCAGTAAATCCAATGTCATAAAGTACTTCCCATCTGTTTTCTTGTAAGAGCTTTATAGTTTTAGTCCTTAAGTTTAATGATTTGATCTATTTTTAGTTAATTTTTGTAATGGTGTATGTAATGGTATGGCATATGCTAGTAAATATTACTTATGATAATAACAATTGTCATATGCAAAGCACAATAAGTTATTCATCATGATAGCTCTAAGTCAATACAAATGTTAAATGTGTTTATTATTCTCCATTTACTAAAGGCATCAAAATAACAGTATATTTTAGAAAGGCTTCCATGAAAAACTCATTTTCCATTTAATATCAGGTATATTTTCATTTTCTACTTGCTCAACTCCCATTGGCTCCTCAATCTATTACTACCAGTTTTCCACCACTCCATGATACTGCTCTTGACATCTTCTGACTGTCAAATTCATGTCCTTTTTTGATTCATACTCTTCTGAGGAAAACTTGTTTCACTTTTAGTTTTCAAAATATTCCTCTCTGCTGGTTCTCCTCTTGTCCTCTTTGACTACTCTAATTCTTTTTCTCTTTTCTTTCCTTAAATGCTACGCTTCCCTACTTTCTTTGGTCTTTGCTCTGCCTCTGAGTCCCCTCTACGTTCCCTCAGAATGATGTCACCAACTACTCGATTCAGTCCCAAACCTAATTCTCTAGCTCTGATCCTTCTTATCACCTTCACAGCCAAATTCCCACCTGCCACCTGGGCATCTCCACCTGTTTATCCCCTAAATAGCTCCAACTAAAAATACTTGACGTCAAACTCGAGCTTTTCGTACAGAAAAGGCTACAGTTTAGAAAGGCTTCCCCACCTCTGCTCTTCTGGTACGTACCATATTCTACCCAGTCGCTGAAGTCTGAAACTGACTCACGCTTGACTTTCTCTATTTCCGTTTACGTTCGTCAGTGATCAAGTCCTGCCATGCTTCCTAAACAGCTCTCTAATTCACTCTCTCCTCTCCTTGGCAACTTCTTTAATTCAGGATCTTATCACAGACTGCAACAACCTGCATTCTAGTGTTCCCGAAGTTCAATTCTCCCCACCCCACCGTGTAACCTTGTTTCCTAGTTTAAACTGGATTGACAGTAAAATGTGTATCACTGCACCAGTCTTACCCCTATAATAGCTTCTATCACACTGCCCTATAAATATCTGCTTACACATTTGATTCCCCCACGTTTTAGTTTAATTTCCTGAGGACCTAGAACAGTGCCTTTCACATAACAGATTGTAAATAGATATTTGATTATTGAATGAATGACCAAATGCTTATGCCACACCTACTTCTAAAGAATTTGAAACTGCTTACAATAAAAGATACATACCCATTAGGGCAATTAAGATAAAATTAAAAGAATAGCTATGCAACAATTTGCTTATTGATAGAGTTAAATTTCTGGAAAGTCCATTGATTCAAAATAAGTTATTTTTATTAATGCCAGATAAATGAGGTAATATGTATTCCTACCCATTTTCAAAATGTTTGCTTGGTTTTCTAAGTCAGATATTTCAATCTTGACATTTTTCTTCATCAAAAGCTCTCTTTTCTTTGTTATTTCATACTCATTATTGAAGTCTGTAATTTCCTTAATAAATTTTTCCTCTTCTTCTGTCACTTGTTTTGCCCTAGACTCCTGCAACACAGAAACAAAAGATCAAATGCAGGTGTTAATTGCAGTAATATTTTTCTTTAGTGATTTAAAATGCAATCATTTGAAATTATTCACATAATATAATACTATACATACTTCTTTGTTTTAGCACAAAAATGCTTTGCTCCTCCAGCAGTATTAATAAAACACTAAAGCTATTATGTAATAACAACCATTTTCACATGAAAGATTTATTCTTAATGTTTTGGGGAAATTATTGATGTAGAAATTCTACCACTCATTGTTCTATGTGTTTGTGCATTAAACTTATAACCATATCTGCCATTTTGTTACTGCAATATAAATTCAGTGGTAAAATAATTAAATGACAAAAATTGGAAATAAAAATCTATACTCAAAGAAATTACTGCCTTATAGAAAAAACCAGAAAAATAAAGAAAGAAGGAAATCTAAGGAAACCTATTAAAACATATAATGAAGGTAGAATTACATATTCATTTCAAATTTAATTCCAAATAATAGTTTACATTTTATGAAATGTCAACACGTAACATAAATAAGAATTTCTAAACACTTTGGACAATGCTAGAACCTAAACTTGACTATATTTTTCTATTTTTTTCTAAGAAACATCAACTCATTATGAGCTACGTTTGGAAACTGGCCATGTCATTTCTAAGCCACTGACGATTGATTCTGTTGACTTCAGGTATATATTTTTAATATTTTAAAATGTATTTTCTTTGAGATGTCAACTAATTACAAGTCATATTCCTAAATTGGCCCTGTCGTTTAAAACTACTGTGTCTGCTGGCTCTGACTTATGATAAAAAGATAAATAAAAGCTATCCTTTTACCCACATCCATAAATATGCCTAAAGTGTGAACCTCTGCTTTTCAAAAGCATTAAAACCAATGTCTAGAAGCCTGAGCAATTCAAATCAGTTTCACTGTTTCCTTTATGCTTATTACAATTGCAAATAATTTCTATATTGCATCGCTGCCAATAGAATTCTTTAAAACTCTATTACTCTACCAACTGGTTTTAAATAGCACTTAATACTTTTCCATATCTGAACAGGACTATCTGTCAATATGCATATGGATAATTTTCTAAAAGTACACACCTAAGTGTATTTAAATGCGTTTGATACAGTTAGTGAAACAGATTTTTCTGAGTGGCTGGAGACTTACAAAGGTTTGGAGGAGCGTATTCCTTTGGTTTGTAATTTCACTGCACTGTCTTTCTAAGGCATTTTCATGACTTTTCAAAAGCTGTAAGATGAAGGATTTTTCAGAAAACTCCTGAACCTTAAAATGAAAAGCAGAAATCAGAATGCAACAACCAGACACTTTAGGGTACCTGAGTTAACAGAACAGACCCGTATAGTATAAACCATTTTCTGTATTACCTTCAAAATGCAAAATATAATGCACATTAACATCTTACTTTATATGCACTATCCTATAATATTTTACAAGTGCTTTATAATTACAATTTTTATAACCTCTTCCCCCAATAAGACTATAGTCTCCTCAAAGGAAGAGAATTTGTTTTCTTTTTCCTTTCCAATATGTAGCCCATTTCTTAGCTTAGGTTCTAAAGGTTTTTGACTACACACATGGAAATCTGCTTCAAGACAGCTTGTTTCAAAGAACAAGTTTCTAATCTCATCACTTATATAAGGAAGAGATGGATGAATAAATCATGTATAAAATATGACTAATAAAATAATGAGATACAATCTACAAACCATAAGCAGAAACCCAATCCCATAACTATAGTTCTACTAAAGAAAACACAAATCTGCTAAAATCCTCAAATGGGTTTTGAAAGCTCATTTTTTATTTTAGTACTTCATTTGGTTGTAACTAGCAAGAGAAACAATAAACATTAATATTAGATATGTAACTGTTATTTCATTTGGGCCATAAAGAATAGCATCTCTTGAGACCATGAATACTGAAATAAAAGTCAGGAAGTTGTAATATATAAAAGCTAAAAATAATGCTGGACTGGAAACAGTCTTTCCACTACTTTCAGTCCTGGCCCTCATAAGAAAGCATCACTTATCGTTTGGGGCTGTTCCCATCTCCACAGAGAAAAGAAAAAGGAAATAAATTCAACTTAAATTGCAGAAAGCAAGATTTATGTTAGCTATAAGAACTTCCTCAAGGTGAGAGACAGGCTGTGAAATCTCTGTCCCAGGAGACATGGAATAGCAAAGAGCTTAGCAATAGTCTAGTCCAGAGGCAGTGGGCTGGCCATTTTGAAACGATATGGCTCAAAAGTCCTACAAATACTGGCATTAGAAAAGGTAGCCAAAATAAAATATGATCTTACATCTGTGTATTATCATAGCACATCTGCCCACACCTTCAGTACTTGGTGCTGTTCTCACCACTTCTATCTTAAGAAAATCAACAATAGAGAAAGATTAGAGAGGTGAAATTTACATGACCAAAGGAATTCAGGAAGTCCTTTTAAAATTGGGGAAAGTGAAAATGGGGCAGTTAGTATTTTACTGTCTGACAGAAGTTAGAAAACGTGTTCACAGTTATAACATCATAGAAATTAGTAACAATGGAAAACAAGAGTATAATCATGAATTCTATCACATTTACTTACAATAAAAAAAAAACCACTTCAGAGCTATTTAGTAGTCATTATATAAATGAGAATAACATGAGTTCCATATAACCTTACAAAAGGTTATTAAGTTGGGGGAAACCCAGGACTAAAATACAGGTTTTCTGTCTTCCTTTCTTCTAAATCATGATGTTAACACAGAAATATTAGAGTTACTTCAAAAAAATAGAGATACTTCTGGAACTAAAAAGGGACTTTAATCTCTGAGAATAGCATAAATTGAAAATACACAAGTTTACAAAAAAAAATTATTAAATACTAGGTCCACCAGATCTTAGTAAGAGAAGGTTGCTTGCATTATATGCCTAACTTACAGAGTGGCTGTTATTGATGGTAACCATGAATACCTGCAAAAATGCTTTGAGACCAAATATTTGGCTGGATAAATTTTGGTTTCATCTAATAAACTATTTCATATATTAAGCCTTTCAGAATCCAAATTCCTGAATTCTGATTCTCTTTCTGTCACTGGTCTGTTGTAAAAGACCTGAGTCGAAATTCAAAAGTTGAGAAAATATTACTTATCAAATTAAGAAGTATTTTAAAATAAAGAATATTAATGAAAGCTATTAGATATATTGGCATTTGATTAGAATATTTTATAAGCTATAAAATGAAGCCTTTATAACCAAAACTGAAAAGTAGACAGCTTATCAAGAGATTGATAAGGTCACCCTATAATGTTCCTCTTCCCCTTAAGTCCTAAATGAATTATCCATTTTCTGCTTTTTTTTTTATTAGTCCACTTCTCTTCTTCATTCCCACTGTCTGTCTTACACTCTGTCTTTATCCTTTACTTCCACAGTTTCCTCTTTTAATCAACCTAAACAATCCCAGAGGGTCAATAGCTAAAAAAAAAAAAATGACCGTAACAATGATTTTTAAATTTACTTAGGATCTGTGATAAAAACATTTAATACAAAAAGAACTGGCAAGTAGGGAAAATAGCCTCGTAGAGGAAAAGGCAGGGATTTGGGCAAGCTCAAGGCAGGAAGATGAAGAAAGGAGAGACCCTACCATATGCCAATTCACACGCTGAGGATGCAGTAAGTTGGGCTGCAGACGCTACATGGGGTCTAATGTCAATGGACAGCCTACATATTTCAAGGGAGCTAAGGAGACAACACCTTTTGGATCTGCCCAGTTCCTCTCTACCAAGAGTAAGTTAGTAATAACTCGTAAGAACCAAAATAGCTTTTCATGGCCACCTATTTGCAGAATGTTTCTCACTGCTCCTTTTGTTTTTTCTGCTACTACAACTAATTTCTTCAATTATTTTTTACATTCTTGTGTTTGAAAACCAGACTTACTGGTATGTAAAATTTAGGTAAATATTCCAAAAATAACCCTGAACATACCGATAGAATCACAAGATGAGGTTTCACAGAATAAATTATCATCAGAAACCTCTCTTACCCATCTTTTGCTGCAAAAGTGATGGGTGGGGATCAGAATTGGGACCATAGAAGAGATGTAAAATCATGACTTAAATATTTTTTGAAACTACGGACTCTATTTTCTAAGTTACCCAGGGATCCCAAGGGGCTTCAAACAATAAAAATAAAAGAGTGCAAGATTCCTAGCAGCAGTAAAACAAATTTCTCTTTCTCCTCTCTCTCCTTCCTATGACTACAAATGAAGCAATAATGTTTGCATGCAGCCTAAAGTTACATTCTAGAATCAAATGGCCAAGCTTGGTCAGAAATATTGCTGTTTTTGGAAAATTTTAATTTATAGCAGTGCCAACATTCTGGTTAATTCTGCTTCTCTCAGCAATAAAGTTTTTTTTTTCCTTTCCCTATTTTATTCCTCGTGGGATATTTGATTTTTCAACGGAGCTTACAGTTTTCTTACTGAGCTGCCTTATCTGGTCAACTAGGTCAGTTTCAGCATCGCCATGATTTGTGACTCTTTATTACTCTTGCTGCCTGGGTGCCTTTAGGTATTTTTCTACCAGAAGAACTTGAAAATTGAAAATGACTGAGAATTTTAAATTAATGTTTGGGTCCAAGTAAGCAAAACACAAAACTACTCTTCGTTGTGGTTGCTGTTGTTTAAAATAAATAATCTCAGCCTTTAGAAACTGACATTTTGCTTATCAAATGCTCTGCCCAATAGTATAATAGTCAACTTTACATAAAAAGAAAAAAACAATACAGAAGATTTCACATTTGGAAGATCCTAGTGATTGGGAAAAGAATGTGTTTAATATGACTATGATAAAAGACATTTTAAACACTAGAGAACATCAATGAGTATTGTATCAGTAACATATATTACGGTTTTTCAAAAAATAGATCTATTTTTTATAAACACATTGCTTCACCACAGATGCAATGCCTAAAGAATAAACTCACCATGATGCAGTAATCCTAATATAGTAAGGAAGGAAGGATCAATATTAGGAAATACAGAGGGTGCCAAAAAAATGTATATGTATTTTAAAAAAGGAAAAACTGTATTAAAATTGTAATACAATGAATGACGCTAGCATTCATTTAATTAACGCAATATTCTGAGCAAACATCATACTACACATTGCTACTGTAATTCAACTTCGAAAGTAATACATAGATAACACCTCTTAAAATGTGTACCTTTTTTTGGCTCCCCCTATATTAGTCCTTGCTCCTTATTCCCTCTCCAATCTTATCTTCTACCAGTCTCCTCAGTCCCCCTTTTCCAGCCACACTGCCCTTGTTATTCCTGGAACACACCGGGCATGCTCCCTCCTCAGGGCCCTTGCACTGACTGTTCTCTGCCTAGGTCTCTCTTTCCCCAGATTCTTCATAATTCATTCCTTTACCTCAGTCAGGTCTTTGCTCATCTCTCACCTTTTCACTGTGGGTTATCAGGATGCCTGATATGACCACTGCTAGATAAGTTTGTTCTGGAAGTTCTTGGTAATGCAATATGGCAAGAAAAAGGAATAAGATATAATTATCTAACAAGCTGACCCACAGTGCTCTCTCTTTTGTTGTTTGGACAAATGTCATTATTATATACCTAATAAATCCAAGGAAATCTACCTAGAAACTGATAGAAATAAAAAAACTCAGTAAAGAGGCTAGTAACAAAATAAATACCAAAAACTAAGTATCTTTTCCTGTTACCAACAGAAAAAAAAAGCATGAAAAAGATCCTATTCACAATAGCAAACACAAAATAAACAAAACACAAACTTAACGAGAAATAGAGATAAGAGCTCATGATAAAGAAAAAAAAAGACCCTTTTAGAGTAACAATCTGATCCGTTTACCCACTGTGGTGGTCACATATCTCCCATCCTTTTTTCTGTCTTCTAATGGCTATAAATATTAAACCAAATTAAGACAATAAAAATTCACTCCCATCTTTTGACATGTGAATTTTCTTTCTCATCTAACTGTTCATTGCCTATAATTAAAGTAGAAACTAAACTACACTTAAAGCCATGTAACTAGTCTGAATCAAAGAAGCTGAAGTGGGTAGCCTTTCAACTTATCTTGAAATATTAATTCAGGCAATAACAATTCATAAGGCCACATTAGCACCAAAAGCTATATGAGAAACTCTTTCCAGTAGCACTGAGATCACAGGCACAGCTGTAAGCAAGTGTTTACCTTTGACCTCTCCCCTTCACCTTTTCTGAACCCATCTGGTGTTCCAAAGGCCACAGCCA